GACACAGACACAGACACAGACACAGACACAGACACAGACACAGACACAGACACAGACACATACACAGACACAGACACACACACAGACACTATATATATATATATATATATATATATATATATATATATATATTTATAGCGAGTCGAAGTTATTGATGTAGCTATGTAATACAACCAAACAAATTCTATATATTTGTACGCGAGAGAAGTGTTTGCGCTCACCTATTCTTGAGTGTCTTCATCTCACTCTTCACCAGAAGGGTGGAGAAGCAGCTCCGGCAGAAGAATTTCTCATAGCCCTCGGTGGTGCAGTCGGCACACTTTAAAGCTTCACATTTCGAACAAAAGTACAACTGTGACAAGTCCTCGTGACATCCGCACACGCACTCGTATGTGATCTTTCCCATTGTGTGAATCTTTCCAATTGTACCTCTTTATAAATGATCTGGATATGCATATACAAGTGCACAACCTATGCACTGCAAGAGCATGTCATAAATGTGTAAACAAACAAAGCTATTCATAAGTTAAAATAGAGACATGGACTCGCAGAGATTTAGTTGTCATTGATTCATCAAAGCTTTGGCACCCAAATCCCGAAATATTTAGAAATTAAGGGGGTTTTTTTTCAGCCCAAAATATCACTAGCAATATTACACTGAAAATATAAAATTGAAGAACTCGGGTGCTGCACGTATGGGGTTTCCGGTTTCGACGTGCAATTTCCGAACAAAATCAGCCCTATTTAAAAACTTCGAAAATAATTAGACCATGTTTTAGCCTCGCATACCAATACATATGTATGTATATCAGCATTCAGCAACATTTGATTCAAAGGTGAATATGTAAATATAAATAAAAGCCATTTTCCTATTTGGTTTACCAGCTTTTTGATCTTGATATATAAATACATAACCCGCATATTCTGGCCGGTGCTTCCATTGTAATCATATTAATATCACATCGAGTTAAAATAGTGTATAGAGTGGCATCAGTATTGAAGTCGTAGAAGGGTCTTATACTGTGATACTGGTCATATACTGTGATACTGACTTATTATCAAAGTAAAGCTCAATGTTTTGTTAGCCAGATGCAAGCTGTCAGGTCAGCTTCATGCTCAGATCTAGAGCAGCAAGAGTTTCTCACCTCCCGATTATAATGCGAAGTGTACTACAAAGGGCTTACAGCGCTTATACTTTAATATAAGGACACGAAAAAAAGAATATATTCCTGAAAGCTGGAAGCTAAGGAGATGGTATGCCATATATAATACTACACACACACAC